TTAAAAATCAAGAGCTTCTTAGTTCATTTCCTTTATTCTCGTGTACTTACATGTGTGATGTAGGTATGATATTGTAAGGAGAAATTAGGTGCTTATCAAAGGGTAATTGTATTCTCTTCATCCTAATTTTTCCAAAACCTTACTTTTTATTTCAGAGGATGGGAGTTCGTATCTACTTCATGGATTTTGACACACAAGGATCTGGAATATGTCAAAGTCCTAAGGATGACATTCTAACAATTAAAGGTGATCTGGCTGTTTTTGAAAACCTGCCATGATGGGAAGTCTGTGTCACACGTACCAGCTGGGTGGATCTGGTGAACTGTCAAGGAAACCAAACAAAATTACTGAGGAGAAATCTGAGAAGGACTTATAAATCCTTTAAGGGTAGCAGACATTATTTTAGTCGCTTCATGCCATAGGAATAGGGGATTCATTACTTACCGACCACGTGATCAGAAAAAGAGGACTCTGGGAACGAGAACGCTAAGTCTGAATCTTATGATGACAAGTTGTGAAAGTCTTGACGCATTTTATTTCCTTCTCTTTGACAGTGTGGAAATCTAATGGAGAGGATGTCATGTTTAAATTGTGTGGCCAACGAGAACCGTTTTACCTAACCTGGACTGGCGATCACCTGCAAATTTCCATAAAGTTTACATCGAACAACGACTCGTTTGTCTCACGTGGGTTTGTGGCCGGTTACATCTTTTACCAATTGCCAGGTAAAAACTGTGTATGACAGACTTTTTACTCACTTGCCCCGACCCTCGCTCTAAACTGATCGTCGCCTCTGTAAATGTAGACGGACTGTGGGGAACTGGGAGAAAGCTCAATCCTTTCCAGTGTTTGATCATCTTGTAAAATTTAGCATCAATTTACTTTTGAAGAAGACAAAAGACAAGCAATTATCCTGAAGAGCCAATGAGAACTCAAAATGAAAACAAACAAAAAGCTCAAAGCGCGGGAAACGCGGGTGACCAAGTCGTGGCTGGTTGTAGTTTGGCCTCTGATTGGTTGAGAAAGTGGCGTGAGTTTTCTACACCAATAACATAACGAATTAGAGCAAAACCGAAGCAATCCTGTATCACTCTCGAATTTCGATTAAACATTATTCTATAGTTTTGCCTTCTTGTGCGTACGTTATCGTCTTAATAACATTTATACTCACGCGCGGCGCGCGTGATTTCACAAATTAGCCAGTCACGTCAAAGAACTCTAACCTTGACATTGGAAAACTGACGTGGACATTTTTCGCGTACTTTTTGTTTGTTTTCGCGGAGTTTTAGTTCGTTGTTTTTAAACTTTCGTTCGCGTAAATTTGTTATCCCTTTACTTGGAAATTTAAGAAGTTTCGGAGCTTTTATTTTAGCCAAATGTTGTGGTTTATTTAACAAGTTTACTTGATATTTTCTACGGAGTTTGGACTCTAGTTTTTTTTTCTGTAAATGGATCTTCTACAATAGGTTTGCAAGTCACATCCAAAAATAACCCAATCCTCAGCCTGTGATTATGCTCTCATCATTAGCGCTGTGGCACGAGCGCTTTTCGCTCGCGTGAAAGTTCGAGGCCTTGAATAAAGCGGGCCTGCAATAGGTCTGTAAGGGATGTGATACTAAGGTTTTTTTAGAGCCAGATCCCGCCCTGTAGAACTCTCGTTGGCTAGCTTGCTAAAGGCCTCAAAACCACCCGTGGGTAGAGAAACGCTCATACTGAAGTGTGAATGATGAGGACCTGGTAGGTTGTTACCAGGCCACCCAATCTTCGTTGTGTAGCCCCCTTAACTTGATAACTCGAGAGGTCAAAAACGAAGGGATCTGGGAAAGAAATACTGGGAAGAGACAGGCATCCTATTTGTTGAACAGTTTGCAAAGTTCGTTTCCAATTTTAGTCATTGTTATTTTTTTTCTTTTATCTTTACAGGAAAATCCACGGGTAGCATTGTGATAGGAACTGTTGCAAGTGTTGCGCTTCCATATTTATGCTTGATTCTGTAATTAAGGTTTCCAATATTAAGATATCTCCTATCGAAGATATTGACGACAAAGATAGAGTTGTATCAGAGGCGTAGCTAGGGGAAGCGTCACATTTTCGAATTTCCGCGCGTCTTGGCGATGTTGGGTTATACCGCTGTTGTACCGTTTAGCGGGCTTGCGTTTAACGCGGCGATGAGAAACGGCAAATGGATCGGAGTATCTAACACTGAAAAAGATTTCTGCAATGTCGCTTCTTCGGCTTCGCGCGTTTCTGCCACCCTGAAGTATAAGATTTGTGAATCAATGTCAGTGTCTGATCAACTGCGCACCTACCCCTCCCCCAACCCAACATTAACCCTAACTTGTTATCAGTTGACTGTTTTTAAGTCAGGGGAGGGGTAAGTGCAGAGTTGTTCAGTCTGACATTGATCCAGATTTGTGTATATTAAAATAAGAAAGAATAAATCATTTCATTATGGAGATTGCGGGTTAGGACCTCCGGAGCTACGCCCTTGAAGAGAAACTCAATACAAGTTATAATCTCATCAACATTTTAGTTCCAGTTCTGTTGACTGATTCAATTACAAGTTTCTAATTCTGTGGAAATGTCAGGCAGCAGGTTACTAGAGACAATAAAGCTACGAAATGAAAAAGAATAAGTTATAATCTCATCAACATTTTAGTTCCAGTTCTGTTGACTGTGTCCAATTCTGTGGAAATGTCAAGCAGTAGATTACTCGAGACAATAAAGCTACGAAATGAAAAAGAATAAAGCGACTACTTTTGATAGAATTGCATACACGATTCACCCAGAAACTCGCTAATCAGCCTCGAATTAAGAGAATTTCCAACGGATACCCAAGTTTTTTCGGTTTTAGTCTCCTACCGCGCATACAATCTATACACGTGAGATACAAAATGGCGATGTAGGAGTCAGGAAACTATATCAGCCTAGGACCTGTGGCTGTATTCACACACATTTCATTTAAATCATTCATGCAGTGTTTTTCTTCAAGCACAAGGTATGTGATAAAATTAATTTGAAGATCATTCTGTTCGAAAGCGGTGAAAATAGCTACATTTAGGATGATATTGCAAGGCAAACAATCTTCACAATCGACTTTGGATTGTGCCTTTTCGAGCGTGATTTTTAAACTTTTAAAAATATTCTTATTGATTTGCTAAATTCTCGAGAACAGAACAAACGAACGAACGAAAAGAAACCCAGCAAACAAACTGTTATTTTAGTGAATTGGAAAGCGCCCGAGGGGCCAAGTCATCGGAAGGCGCATCAAAATTTAGTTCGCATACGTCTCCATGAGGTGAAGTTTGAAATTTGCCCCCGAATCTTCTGTAGGTATTCCCTTTAAACCTTTACACCCTCACATCAGTATGCATATTCTCTCTACTGTTCTCTATACATTTTCTGAGGTGCAGATAAGGAGAATTTGTTTAAGTATTAGGAGTTTGTTTAATTATAATGTTTTATTTAGGGTGATTTTGTCGGGAAAAATTAGATGCTTGTTCCTCTTAAGGTTTTAGACGGTTACATACTGAAAAAAAACTTACCAAAAGGAGACTTGCGTTGGATTTTTAACAATCACTCTGAAAGGCGCATTTCACAAGAAGTCACCACTCACAACCAAAATAAATGTCTTACGAAATTCGAGACGCATGAGAATTGAACATTGAGTGGATAGACGTGTCACAAACAATTTCCAGTTCTCGCTCCGGTTGGACTTTCTAACCCTTCTCTTCCCAAGATCTGATTGTTAATTCTCCCTTCTAGCCGCTACATATTTTCTTGTAAATACATACGATAAATCTAGTGGTAGATCAAGATAGTAACTTTTACAGCATAAGTATGAGTATTCTCATGACTTGTTTATTGGATAGTGAGCGGATGTTACAGGGAGAAGCTGTATGCTTGTCATATGCCTCGAATTATAATATTTACAAGTGTAATAAATGAGACACATGCAAGACCGGATGTGCGTCATATTTGCACGTCGTTCCTTTACTTAAGATCAGTTCCGGTTAAGGTCACGTTTCCATATTGACCATTTAAAGATGTCAGAAGATTATTATTATTTTCCGTCATGTAGGAAAAGGCGGACGAAAAGAGGATGTAACAGACCGCCGTGGAGGTCAAGGGTTTAAGCCCCAGACCGGACCAACACTTAGGGTCTTAAAAATTACGAAGGAGAATATGCTACTTTTGTTCTACTGGTTTGCAGAGGACGTTGAAAAAAGAAAAAAAAAACCCACGCACTTCTCGCGGAGAGTAGGGAACGTTCTAGCAAAGAGTAAGGAACGTAGCTCCTGGTGTTGTGTTTTTGGCTTTGTTTCCCAAAATTCCTTAATTGGTGGCACCTGCAAAATTCTCTTTCAAAAATATTGTAAATTACTCAATGCAGTGTGGCCAAATTCTCCCGCAAAGTTTTGCTACGTGTATTAGAGCATATTCTTACGGAGAATGCGCTATATAAAAACATCACTGTCACCATTGTTGTATTTCAACTTTCCTTAACTTTTACGTACACCCAAGTGTGTGACCCTCTCAGAAATCTCTTGAAAGCCTACATAAAATGATGATGTCACTGTAAACTTCGTTCGACCGCGCATGAGAGCTGTTGCTACACAATAATGTTAATGTCACGAAATAAAACTTTCATTGAATTTTTTTATCACGGATTTGCCATTTCGATAATTATGTACGTTTGAGTTTCCGTGACCACGGTGTGAAACTAGAAAGTTGTTGGTTAAATCTTTGTTATTTATGTCATGGGGTATGTCCTCATGAGTTGAGGAAACCTAGGTCGTTAAATATAACCTTTTACTTCGCAAAACGTTCAAGGTTATTTCATTTCCGTTTCCTAGTTCAGTTTTGACGAAAGCCTTGAGGCCACAAACCTCTTCCCCTTCTAGATAAAGGCCAAAGTCGCGCCTGATAGATAATCCTGTGGGTAGCTTATCCAGGATTATATCGAATATTTTTTATTAGCATCTGATGTTACTTGGAAAATTCCCAATATTTATCTCATGACAATTAACAACTACCCGCCTTAGTACCTGCAATTGCATCTGTTCGTCTGTTAGCGAAAAGAAGCAATTAGAGAAGACCGAACAAGTCAATGTTGGACATTTGGTAAGCAAAATGGCCCTCTTAAACATAAAGCTTTGCATTTACTGCGGTTTTTCTCTCAAAAATTGCGATACCTGATCAAATTCTTTCTTTGCACGTTAAATGCGCAAACTGCACTCGGGATATGTGATATTATTTTCAGGCTAGATGTTATGTAGAACAGTATTGTGTCGGTGGATAGAGACCCTTACGATTTCTCAACAAGGGTTTTCATTAAAGATATTGCACAAATATTCCCAGTTTTCCGCATTTTTCCTTCATGTTGTATAATTTTGAAAATCGATTTGGATCATGCAATTGGGGTATTTTTTAAAAAGTATTAGCCATTTCATACACGCGCGCTGCAATATTTATTTCGGTTTTATTTATTTCGCCAGTATTTTATCAGTTCTAGAGATTGCGATACACTGGTAAGTGATCGTGTTTGTGTGTTATTTTTTTTTATATTTAAGTCTGTTTGTAAAGCTCCTTGGCTTTCAATGTTCTGAATTTTTCCGACTATGAATGAGTAAAATCACAAAGTATTGTTTAATATTGTGCAATGCTTTGGGAGGTGATCTTAATTGCATATCCTTTTTTCACTTTCGAAGTCAAAACACGGGCGGAGACTACAAATTCATACCTTATGTCTCTCCTACGAACAATCTTGAAGACACAACTGTAGCGATAGCTTTCTTTCTCATTTTTTTTTCTAAGGAAAACAACGGGCAAGCTGTTTACTTTTGCACAAAAAATTACGCCGATACCTTCAAGGAAAGTTCTCAAAACATTTTTAAAGCGTTCTTTAGAAATCCTCTTGCTGCGTTTTTAATAAATCATGACGCCTTGAAAAAAATTATGCCGCCTTAATATATATGCCTGCCTTTCACACATTAGTTTTTTTTTTCTTTTTAAAAACACTCTATTTCCTAGGGGTTCTATGCTTTCACACGGGCTGTACGTGAAGTTTTTCAAGTCACGTACTGGTGCTATTCAGCGGTGTACATCGGAAATTCGTAAACATCGATTTTCCTTCCTAAAACATAAATGTTCCTCATTTTGCCAAAACTTTATGGCGGATGTTTTGAATCTGTTGACAAATATTTTAAAAATCCCTATAAATATTCAATGAACATGTTTTGAATATTAATAATTAAACCATACGGTAAAACTAAAGGACTTCCCGATGCGTAACGGAGGTTTTCTAAATCGGGCGGGTGTGTGATTGAGTTAACTTGTGTTTTTTTTCATGATAATTTATTCTGAATTGTTGTTTCTTGTAAGAAGTTCATACAGTTGCCCTCACTTTTGCAAGAATGGCCGATGAAAACGAGAATTCTGCTCCATCAGGTAAGATTATTCAAAACGTTTTGCTTATAAGCATAGAATATTAGGCTCAATGGTATTAAAATTCGCTAAGCTTGTCGTTAAGATTTGTTCTGACAGACGTTTGGCTTCAACTTTCGCCCACGTCAAGTCTGCAAACTTTTGAGATAACAAATATTCGCAGAATTAAAGAAAAAGTTTATTTTGCAGTTACACAATATATTTTAAGATGATTTTTTCTCTTCATTCTTGTTTTTGGGTTCGGATGACTGTGATAATTTAACCAAGCGTGACATTGCATCGGTATAGCAAATATTCGCCTTCAAGACATACCGTGTTTTAAATTCTTTTAAGTGTACGTAACTTTTAGCGAATAAGTTTCTAAAATTTGAACAGAGTTTTAACGAAATTCAATGTTAATTCGATCGTTCTCCTTAGAAATTGAAGACAAAGTTTATCTCTTAGCAAACTCGCGGAGAAGAAGTTCATCAATGAACGTCTTGAAATTGACACTTGTCAAAATATTGTTTTGCTTCTAGAATCTTACTTTAGTAGCTTGAGATTTTAACTCACTTTGTTGACAAGTTAATTTTGCTCCTTCTTGTGAAACTACTTAAACTAGCGGTGAAATAGAAAGGAACAAATATGTTATTGTTTGGAAAAAATTACGAGTAATCCTAGCACAGTAACTTACGTACATCGGATCCTGTATCAAGATTTTATTGATTGATTTATCTATTTTTAACTCATATTTTGTCGTGGATTTTACTCGTTTCGCTGTAAACGTTGAGGTTTTCGATAAGAACATAATCGAACATGTATACTTTAGAAGTTTAGGGGCTTTTCGAAAAGTTCTTACATGTGTCACGACATTTTGTCACGCAATTTTGGAGCGTTTTAGGGGTTTCAATCACTCGAATATTCCCTGCTGCTAAATCGTTCTCTTGTTGAGTGACAACGAGGCGCCCAAACCCCGTCACTCTCATATTTCACAGCAAAATTAAAAGAATGCACACATCTGGCGAGGTCTTGACGAGTATGTAATTTTTTTTCCATTTTTATGAAAAATTATATTTTTCTTTAAGACTCTTATGTTATACCTCATAGCACTGTTACCATATCCAAGTAAAAACGAAGATTCAAGGATGAAAAATTTTCTTGAAAGTACATGTGAAATCGAAACAGTTGTGTTATTCAAGCTTTAATTTGTATCTGGTATGCTAAATTTTGACAAGTTATGCAAATATTGGACTAGTAAAACTAACTAAGGTGTATTGAATGTAGCAAAGAAACAGGTATTTGTAAGAAAATTCTGTGTTGACACACCGCCAAAACTTTGGGATGACATATGCAAACAGACAAAATCAATTTGACGTAAGTTAATGAATATTGTTGATTACAATTCTTTGAACTAGCTTCATCTAATTCATGCTCTAAGTTTATGCTCCAAGTTCAGGTAACCTAGTGATTAGATAATGAAGAACATTCACTTTATAAAAATGATCATGTGTGATTTTCATTTGTTTATGATTTTTGTTCAACCCTTTATCTCCTAGAAGTGATTAATGTGTAACTTCTCTCCATAATATCCATAAATTATCCAGAAAACAGGTAATGAGATGATTCAACCTCATCAGTTAGAATTTGTTTTTGGTAACACCAATTTCTCATGACCAATGAATAAGGAAATATGTGACAGCAAGTGGGGAGAATTAGCAATAAGATCTTGGGAGTTAAAGGGTTAATATTAAAATAAAACATTTTGGATAGAACAACCTTGATGAATGGTAATAAATTATTGATTATAATTAGTTCAAGACTGCTGGAAGGCGATGCAACATGGATCAAAGATGATCAAACTGGATGTCAACAGGAAGGGCCATCATAAAAAAACCTTTGTCCTTGATAAAGAGATGACAGAAATAAGATATGAGCCGTCAAAGAAGAACTCTCGGTGTAAGTTTAATTTTCTGATATTTTTTATGGTGGGTCTGTATCTTGGGTATAATTTCTGTTTAGAAATAACCGCAGCTGTCTTAAATTTTGTTTAAAAATTATGCGCTTGAAAACAAAAAAATTTTTGAATATTTGCATAATATTTATAAAGTAATTTAGATACAGTTGTGGGTAACTCACATCTTTAGACAAATGTCCCTTTTCATGCATTGCAAACCTATTTTTTATTTTTTTCAAGTAGTCCTTTCATTATTAACATTAAATAAAAGATAGGAATTCACAGTTGTTCAAAGGGCAGGAAACTCTATCCAACAAATAAATCGCTATTCTGCTATAGACAAGTGTACTAAACAAAATGGACTGTGCTATAATCCACCTAGCAGTGATTTCATAGCAGATAGAGTTAACATCTTCCCTTCAAACAGGCAGGACCTGAATATTCGTTTGATATATTTTGGTTGTATATTTATTTCAGTAATAGGGAATTACTACATAACAATTTGGTTCCACCCTCTATAAAATTAACTTTTTCCTCATATTTGTTAAATGATGTATAATTTTCAGTGGTTATTAATTGCTGTTGTTCGGTGTTAGGGTCCTACAGTAGCTATTGACTGTGGTTGGTCATTTAGGGTCATGGGAAGTTACTAAGGGGCGGGGGGGAGACTTAGTCTCATTGGCACATGGTACAATCTCATTAATCATCACTTGTTCTTGACCAAGTGAGGGGGGTGGGGGAGGAGGAGGAGGGTTCCTGCATTAGTTGTGTTTATAGAGACTCATCTTTTGTTATCATTATTTAATACCTTTTTTTCTTAGCAAGGTGTGGGCAAGGACAGGGGGGTCACAGGTGCCATCAACCACACCCCCCTCTCCTTTCTTTTGCTTATTTCCTTTGATGCACTATGAAGGTTTGAAAGACCTTCCAATGCCTTGTATGGTTGTGACATTTTTGGGCTCAGTGCCTGAAATGAAACTCAGAGAGCTTGAATATTTTATTTTATTCATCTTTGGTTTTCTGTTATATCTTAGTTAAGATTGACAAAATGACAGAAATACAATTTGGAGACAGCGTCAAGGACCTCTTCCAAGGATTTTTGAAAAAGCATTCCCTTGAGAACTGTATTTCCATTAAGTTTGGCAACAATGGGGGTAGTGCAGCTCTCAATGTGGTGGCAGAGTCAAGGGAAGTGGCAGACTTTTGGATAAGAGGACTTCAAAAGCTCATTATCAACAAAGGTAACATTCTGCCTCAAAACAATTTTTATCAGCTTGTTCCAGACATTCAGTTATTAAAAACGAAGGGCGCTAGTAAACGGTGCAATGGTTGTGGAGGAGTGAAAAACCGAGGGAGGCTTGGGGTCAGGTAACATTGAGAATGTTATGCACCCGACCCAGTCCTCTCTTGTTTTCGGACTTCCACTTCTATCGGCCATTCACTATTCATTCCCATTTACTAACTAAACATCTGGGACAGGCAAAATTTATAATTTAGGGTAGAGAGGGATCCCGTATTGCTTTTACTTTGCTTTACTGCTTTCTGTGATTGGTCCAGAAAACTTGCACCACTCTCTTAACCAATCAGATGTAAAGCCAAACCAATCACAACATGCTCACTCGTATTTTCCCATGCTTTGTCACTTTGAGTTCTCATTGGCGCCATGTGATATTTTCTCATAATCTGATTGGCCCTTGTGATTGCTCTTAATTTGAGTTTACAACAAGCTATCGCAAAACGTTCTTGGGTATCAGATAACGTGTGGACAACCTGAAATTTTTTACAGATCTTAGATCTGTTAATCCCTTGATCCCTAAGAGTGACTAGCATCTAATTTCTCCTCACAACATCGCCTCTGAATCACACATTAAGGTCACGAGAATAAAGGAAATGGTCACCAATTAAAGATGCTCATGATTATTGAAAATTCTCCTTGTCAGTACCGTAGTAAATGTATAGGGAACAGTATGGAGAATATGCAAACTGATCTAAGGCTGTAAAGTGTTACTTGACGTTATAAAGTCAATTATGAGATTCAACATTCTACTCCTTTGACAAAGAAATCGGTGACTACTCATACACTTTCGCTCAAACCAATCATGTTTTTTTTTTAACTGGATTGTTCAGTTATCTGTTTGTTTTTTGTCTTCGTTCTTCAGGTAATCTCGAGAAGGAGGACAAGGAAAATCGCGATCAATATCCTTTCACACTTTTATTAAATATTGAAAATCATCTGGAATTCTCATCTTGCCATTAAGTTGCTTTCAACCATCCTGTGATTGGTCTAAAATACACGCGCTATCCACTCAACAGATCAGATGTGAGTAGAGAAATTTTCAATCGAGGGTCAAAAGTAATGCGAGATTGCACTGGTTTTGCACTTCCTCGCTCTAGAAAACTCGTGCTACTCTCTCAACCAATCAAATGCAAAACCAATCAAATGCAAAACCAAACCAATCACGACTTAATCACCCGCGTTTCCCCGCGCTTTAGGCAGTTTGGTTAGTTTTACTTTGAGATCTCATTGGCTCTTTAAGGTTCTTTCCTTTCATCTGATTGGCTGTTGTGATAACTTCGGTTTTGGTTGTACCAAACTCAATCGAAAAGCGCTCTATTATTCAAATCGTGACTTTGTCTCGCGTATTTTTCCTGCGCTTAATCTCGTTTACATGTAGTTACTTTGAATTCCTATTGGCTCTTTGGAGTACGTACTGACGCCTCTTCTGATTGGCTGTTGTGAATACTTTGTCTCTGTATTTCCCGCGCTTGATTTTGTTTTCACGTGGTTCCTATTGTTTCTTTGGAGTACGTTTTTATGCGTCTTCTGATTGGCTGTCGTGATTACTTTGGTTTTAGTGTTACGATACTCAAATGAAAAGCGTAAGAAAGATTCAAGATTGACATACATACAATTAATTACTTTTGTGCCACTATTCAGTTTGATAGTTTGATTTTTCCAAGGTAGTTTTGGAAGCAACGGATTAGTATTTTCTTTAACAAATATTCACATGGCTCGTGGAAGCCTTTGAGAAATTTGACAAGAACAAAGATGGCTCATTAGGTTTGAAGGAAGTTCAGAGACTTGTCGAAGCTTTGAACGTCAGCATGAGTCCAAGCCAAGTGAAAAAGAAATTTAAGGTGAGTATGTTTACAATGTCTACTTCTTAGTAAGTCCAGATTAACAAAGAACTTGGAAAGAAAACTTAGTTTGCGAATGAAAAGTGCAAAACCGATAGAAAACTGTACAGGACGCTATTCCGGTTTCCACATCACATGAATTATTTCGATCAAACACCACTATAATATATGCAATTCATTTTAACCCTTTCGAATGATGATTAAGTAATTTTTTCTTTGCAATATCAATACGTTGTTCCAGCCAAGAAGTGAGGAGAAGAAATAAGAATACCTCTGCTCAATTCACAAGAAAATTTGTTGCAGGCCTTAAACGAAGCACAACAACTTTGGAAATTTTAAAGCAACTCTTCACTTTTTTTACCATCTATTTGATTAGGAAGTGAACACAGATGGCGACGCAGCGCTTAATAAAGACGAGTTTGCCACATTCTTCAAGACAATATCTACAAGAAAGGAAATTGTCGATCTCATGAAGCAGAATTCATCTAATGGAGCACACATGAATGAAGATGATTTCCATTATTTTGTAACAAATGTACAAGGGGTAAGATTTGATTGCTAGTTATAAATTTATCCATCGGTCGATAAGGTAATCAGTATGTTTAGGTGTTGGTTTGATGCTGTTCTTTAAGCCAGTGTTTGTGGTGATAGTCAATAATCAGTCCGTCAGTCTGTCAGTCAGTCAGTCCATCAGTCAGCCAGTCAGCCAGTCCGTCCGTCTGTCCTCAGTCAGTCAATCTGTCCGTCCGTCAGTCAGTCTGTCAGTCAGTTAGTCGGTCCGTTCTTCAGTCAGTCAGTCGGTCAGTCAGTCAGTCAGTCAGTCAGTCAGTCGGTCGGTCGGTCGGTCGGTCGGTCAGTCAGTCAGTCAGTCCGTCAGTTCGTCAGTCGGTTCCTCGGTTCCTCCCTCAATCGATCAGTCAGTTAGTGAGTTTTTAATTGATCAGTTAGCCAATTTTAATAAGTCAGTTTACCCGTCAGACAGGTGTCAGTCAACAAGTCAATTTACTCAAGCATATAATTGGCTTCAAGTCAATCAGTCAGTCTAAGTCACGTCAGTCAATTGTCAGTGACTAAGTCAGTCGATATGTCAGTCAGTTTTAGGTCAGTCACTCACTCAATCTATCGCTAGTTAGTCAGTCAGCGAATCCGATTGCACATAACAGACAATCTGCATCAGTTTGAAACAAAGGCGTTTTACTTCCTTTTTTCAGATGCCTAACGCCAGCAGAGAATACTGCTTGGATATGATTTTGACCCATGAACCAACAGAGACGGGGAAGAGGAGGCATGAATTAGGAATTGACGGTCAGTGTTTGCTCTAAATGCTGTTCAAATTGTTTAAGTAAAATTTCGGAAACTCTTCTCGTACGAGAGAGATGTTTCTTCGTCTTGTCACGAGCGTGGAAGAAAGGAAAAAATTTTGAATCTTTAAATGGAATCGAACCTCAGTCCACTGAGGCACCAAGAAATCAATGGTGAGCCACGCCTTTACAAGATTCGTATGTGAGACGCGTCCTGCATAATGCTACAACCAGTAATGTCGAAATCGTTATGTTCGTAAATAGAAGAAAAAGAAAGACTATAAATTTTGAGCTCGGTTAAGAAATCGAGAAAGATATTGCCTGCATTCGGGCTCTCGTTATTAGTTCTTCGGCACGAGCGTTTCTTCGGCACGAGCGTTTCCTCGGCATAAGCTTTACTTCGGCACGAGCGTTTCTTCGGCACGATCGTTTCTTCGCTCGTGGGAAAGTATAAAGCCTTGAGCTACACCAGCGGGCGAGAGGTTTTCAAGGGCTCTAGCTATTAGTGCCAAACAAAACCTCTCCTTGCCTCGTGTCATGTCTTCCCGCAAGCGGAGAAACGCGTGTCCTGCAGCGCTGATAATGAGGGTCTGCGCGCAATCTAAGAAAGGTTTGACCATTAGATATTTTTCAATCTGTCAGGGTTGACGAGCTACCTCAAATCTCCAGAGGGGGACATTTTCGACCCCGCCCATGACAAAATTTACCAAGACATGACTCACCCGCTCACTCATTACTACATTGCCTCGTCCCACAACACTTATCTTCTACAAGATCAGCTCCGTGGTCCGTCCAGTGTGGATGCTTATATCAATGCTCTGAAGAAAGGTTGTCGTTGTGTAGAGTTGGACTGTTGGGATGGCGATAATGGAGAACCTATTGTTTATCATGGTCATACGCTCACCTCCAAGATTCTCTTCAAGGATGTCATCGAAGCTGTTAATAGATATGCGTTCGAGGTTTCGGAGTAAGTAATTTTTTTTCTTTTACAAACGAGTAAGGTCTTAGTCTCCGGGAAGAAGTACAGTGATGTAATACAGCAGTCCATGTTTAAGACTTAAGATGGAGCTTGCTGATTTTAGCCCATTACGCCCAAGTATTCATTTTCATATTCTTCGCAGTGCTCTCTGTACATTTCCTATGGTAATGAAAAGGAGAATTTGTGTAACAATCAGGACCTCCTTAAATTGGTGATCATCTTCTTTATTCTCATGACCTCTACATTTGATTCAAGAGTGATACTGTAAGGAGAAATTAGAGGCCAGTCAGTTCTCTGTGTTGCGTTCTTGGGCAACACACTTCACTCTGACTGTGTCTGATGACCCTTCAAAATGTCAGAGAGGCCTGACGATAAACTATTATCCTATCCAGGGAGGAGTAGCACCACCTCGTTGCTTCATTGTACAGAAACCGGAATGAGCTCCGTCAGATGAGCCACTCAGTTCATATTCTGACTTAAATTACCTCGACCAGTAATTTAGCAATGATTCTTTCTTTCTCCTGTTTATAGATATCCGGTTATCCTCTCCTTGGAAAACCATTGTAATCTTTCAAATCAAAAGAAAATGGCTGAAATACTCGAAGAAATACTTGGCGGTATCCTTTGAATGAGTTGTTATAAAAATATTACCAGAATTGAAAGCAGCATGTTGCTAAAAATGGGGTGTATGTTTAAAGAGAAACTTACGTTGTAAATCGGGCGCGTGATTTGAGGGAAAAATAACGGAAGAACAAACAAGGAAAGTAACGAACTGAAGAATCACGAACGAATGAGTAAGTAAAGGGAAGAACGAAAGCATATCGAAAGAAAATTAGTAACATAGTCGAAGGAAGATTTGGAGGTATCTTTAAATTTGTTCGATCAAGTTGTTTTGATGACAGTAACAATATCATCGGGGTTCATCTTTCCTACTTCAGTGTCAGGTGTAAAAACATGAAATACAAAATCTGAGGGGAAAAAACTAGCCTGCGAATTTGTTGCGTGATCGTATGAACGCCGAAACGAGTTTTAAAATAAACCAGGAAATTACTATATATTGTAATTTATGTGATAAGCTGCATCCCACACACATTTGAATGGGTTCTTAAGATCTATCGGAGGACATACGCAGAGATGACGTCACCGTTAACAACAATTTGTTTTTCAGTATTGGTAATCACATGATTTCGAGTACAATTTGGAATAAATAGGCACGAGTAAATTTTTTCAAAGACTATTTGAAAAAATTCACTAGTGCTCATTTATTCCAAATTGTACGAGGAAAATCATGTGATTACGTATTAATAATATACATGAAAAAATACGAGATAGCTTATCATAATTATACAGAAGCAAAGCGCGCGCATCAAGTGCCAAAATAATTTATTCAAACCCTACAAGTGACATTTTGCGTTCGGTCAAAACAACTGCGTACGATCAAAACAATAATATACAATGATATTTTCACATCCTTAAGGCACAAAAAAGTTCAAGGAATGATTCAGTCTGGTTTGTTACTTCTTTGCACTGAATTAATCCTCATCTGCATTGAATTACCTTAAAACTGCATTTATCTTATTATCATATAAAACAAATAGATTTCATGTTGTCGCGCGTGGGTCTGCATGTGCGAAGAACATCAGTGTTACACTTGGCTGCACCTTATTGGTTCTTACCACCTTTTGACGTCATCTGTGCTCTGAACTACGCACGGCAACATGGAATCTGAGATAGACTCGCTGTGTTGCTTTAAGACATTACATTATGTGATGGTTCAAAAAGATAAGAGACTGTTAAGTTCCTTGACTAATTTGATAACAAGATACACTGTACAAAATTCCCGTAGATAAGGAATTCGATACTTTTCCATCTCCAGAGTTCTTCAAGAACAAAATTCTCATCAAGGTATTGGCAAACCGGCGTGTTGTTTAGTACAATAGTATTAAATATATTGTGACAAGCTGTTTTACGTCAAAAAATTAAGTGTCCACGAAATAACTGTTACTTCCGTTGTAATATTGCATGCTCACCGCTTAGCCTATATTGCAAAATGAGAAGGAGAATGTTTTATTTGTGGTTCGCACTATCCTCTTCATTTACGTAATATACGGCGGATTAAAATTTTTCGAAATCGCTTTTTCTCGCAGGGTAAGAAATTAAAACCAGAGCAAGAGAAAGATGGTGACGACGAAGGTGACGTCACAGATGAAGACGAAGCAGCTGATATTGATCAAGAGGCAGCTTCGGTTGCAATGGCAAAAGAAAATGCGGGCGCGGAAGCTGGTTCGAGTGCAGGCGCAGAAGGACCCTCTACCACCAGTACTTCTCCTCCGGTTAAAAAGAAGCAAAAGAAACCAAAAAAGGTACCTAATTATTATTTTATTATTATTATTTATTTAAGCAATCGACGTAAAAGGACCGAAAGAACGCCTAGTACTCGCATTGAAAGACGTCTGTTAAAAAATAATTTTTCATAAACTTAAAACCAACAGTTTAAAAGTAATACTTATATTTACGAACACAGAGTCACCCCTTTTACTACCAGAGTGTCATTAGTAATTTTCTTACCTGATGAGGCAGTACGGATAAGATGCTGCTCTTTTAGTAGGTTACCCACCCCTCCCCCAGTTCCCCCTGTTTTCTTGGTTGCCCCAAATTTCAGTTGAGTTTCTATTGATGTAGAATGTTAGGATATTGCTCCATTAGTGAGTTACCCTCCCTTCCCTGAGTTCCCCTTTTGTCCAGGTTTCCCCAAATGTTTTTTTTTTATCTTTCTAAAGGAATTATGTGTTAAATATTTTAATAATTAAAGGTTTGATATTTTAAGGTTAAAAACATTTTCCGAAATAACTTTGAGGCAGGTATGGTTTTGATGAATTGATTGGTATTGATTGATTCTTGAAAGAATTAGGAGAAAATTTTCTTAGTAAATCTTTGACAGGCATCCTTAAGTTTTAGACATAACCTTCTCTGACTAAAGTCATAAATATACTTTTAAATAGTTTTAATTAAATCTCCAGTTTATCGTTCTTTGTTCCATGTATTTACCAGGAAAGCATTCGTAGATCTTTTCGTTCCGTTGGTAAAGTGGTACGCAGCGCTGGTAAATTTAAAGACGAAACAGATGTAAGTAAACGCTTAAATTTCATGCTGATAACAATAAACTTCGTTAAGTTCAAGTTAGAGCGTTCTTTTCACAGTGACAGTTGTAATAAATGCCCTGAAATCTTTGAAAAATTTAGGGGAAATCTAGAACCGCGCTATCCTACAAAAGGTGCGCTTAGATTTACTTGTTAGAGTAGATTACCATCGCCTATAGTTAAGAAAATTTTAAAATTTTAAATCAAAGCGCTTATATTATGTTTTGTCACTGGAAGAATGCTCTAGCTTTGTAAAACTTTAAATTGAACTCAAAGGAGAGTGACTAAAGAAAGAGAAACTGATGAATCTGTTGAAAGTATCAAGGTAAATAAAAATGATGTAGGTTACTTTCAAGCATTAGCCTCTTTCAGGCGTTCAGTTGTAAAACGAAGCGCGGAAGAACACGACGCGATTGGAGTGGAAGAGTGAAAAAACCAGGGAGGTCTGGGTCGGGTTGCGTAATGGACTGTGCAACCCGACCCAAATCTCTCTCGTTTTCAATCTTTCATTGCTATCTCACCGTTGACTGTTTCGCTGTGTTTGACTCACTGAGCGCCTGGAACATGCTACTAAAGCATATGATTTCATGGTAAATTTTTTCTAATACTGACATCTTATAACCTTATCGCGAAGAATAATTAACCTCTACAGCTTAAAGTAAAGAAAGCTAGGATTTTTTCACCTCCTTAACGTTATTAATTCTGTTCCTGAATTACAATATAATTGATCCAGCTATAAATAAATAAGCCTCGCAGATCTCAACAGCCTTTAGATTCAGACGACAATTTTAACTGCATGAAGTCTTTGAATTGTAAACTGCATGTCAGCCGGAAAGTCTAGTTAAGTTTTGCCAGGCGTAAAATGGCTTCAATACGTCGTAACATCCTGTAAACTGAAAATGATATGTTGATACATGCAGAGTAATTTGTCTGGAGCTCTAACACTAACAAAGTACAGTGAACCAATTAATTATATAGACATTTTAAAAGAAAATGCACAATGTCAGCGGAATATTGTTAATTCTAGAACAAATTTAAACCTAGTTTTGCACTCTTAACGTCAGCTATCGTATTTTGATTCCGATGAAGAAGGTTTCCTTGTTTACATGTTTATGTATTCTCCTGCCCGCTTCACGAGAGAGATCAGCGACCTTATGGAATCATTTTTAGGTTTTGTGAGTAGGAACAGATAAATTCAGCCCCCCTCTAGGACCGCTAGACCATGATTGCCCAATTCCGACTCCAACAAGTTTACGAGAACAAAAGGAAATCTCTGTTACTTAAATTTTCTAAGAATCTCGATATGTTCGTGAAATAACCTTGATTGGCAGTGGTGAAGTATAATTACCTCCACTGTTGGAACAGTGAGAGAAAAAAAGTGTAAAACGCGCAGTGCCTATCACAACAACAGAATTCGATTTCCGAACGAGGACTTGATGATCTGTTTGATTAAATATCGTTTTTCCAGCTGAAAACGTCAACCCTTTACACCCTAACATCAGTATGCATATTCTCCATACTGTTCTCCATACATTTCTTGAGGAGCTGACAAGGAGAATTTGTATCTAAACAATCAAAAGTTTCTTTAGTTGGTGATCATTTCCTTTATTCTCATGACCTTATGTGTGATTCGGGGATTATGTCGCTTTACTTACAATGTTGCTGGTTTTACAGATGCAATCGTTACATGTTTAAAAGCATCAACCCTTAGGAATTCCAGTTTTGCAAGGTTACTCGTTTTCGATGTAACTTACGGAGGAGAATTGTGTTAGACCTTATTGATAACTCTTTTCCACAGGATGAAAAGAGCGGCAAGAAAAAGAAGAAACAGAAGCTGGCCAAAGAGCTCTCCCGCTGCGTAAACTACGTGTCCAGTGTGGGATTCAAGGGTTTTGAACACGCCAAACAAAATAGTAAGCATTTTAGAGCCATTTTCAATGAGTGTCGAAAATAATCTGAGATTGCACTGGGTTTTGCTTTACTTCTTTCTGTGATTGGTTCAGAAAACTCGCACCACTCTCTCTCAACCAATCAAATGCAAAACTGAAAACAAACACGAATTGGTCACCCGCGTTTTCCCGCGCTTTTGGTATTTTGCTTGGTTTTAGTTGGAGTTCTCATTGGTTCTTTAAATTCTTTCACTTCGTCTGATTGGTCGTCGTGACAACTTTAGTTTTAGTCTTGCGACACTCATATCACGGCCAATCAGATTACCTACCTTCTGGTAGGGAGGATCGGTTAACTTGTGTCTTCGGAAAAGTGTGGGAATTTTCACAACATGGGGAAACATTGACAATGAAAGGAAGTGAAAAGCGTAGGAGGCATGGGTTCGAATCCTGTCACAGCCTGAAGTTTTTCAAGCTCTTTCTGAAATTTCTTTTACTTGATCATTTCTTCACTTGTACGTGGATTTTTCCTTGCCCGACTTTCATAACGTATGAATAACATCTTCCTTCTTCTCTCTGCTTTTTCAAACAGGCAAGTTTCACCAAATGTCTTCTTTTGTGGAATCCAAAATGGTCAACTTGGTGAACTCTCAAGGAGCTGAGTTTGTTGAATACAACAAGAGACAGCTCAGCAGAATTTACCCGGCCGGAGGGAGAGTGGACTCTAGTAACTACAACCCTCAACAGGCCTGGAACGCGGGATGTCAAATAGGTATGTTAACCCTCCCTTTTCCGAGATCTAATAATAAATTCTCCGCACTCTTTGCCGTATATTTCCTACAGTTTTAGCTCTGAGAAGTTGTTTTTAAATCAATAGTATCCCATGGTTGTAGGGGTAGGGAGGGTGGGTAGCGTTGAAATCCGACGAGACTCAAGGGTCAACTTCTCAAAATTCGTTGCGGTTATTTAACTACCTTTTTCAATTTTAAATTGAGAAGCAGCTGATTATTTGATTCGCATGCCGACGCAGCACAGCAGCTTCTTTAACCTCCCTGCTTTGAATTACACCAGAGAGTCTACTTTAATTCTTCCTTTTTGACAACAGTTGCCTTAAACTACCAAACGGATTCTGAACCCATGCACTTGAACCAAGGAAAATTTAGAACAAATGGACGAGCTGGCTACATTCTGAAGCCTAAAGTTCTACGAGACTGTAAGTATTTCCAAGTATTTTACCTTCAATAACTTCAGGAGCTTTCATGCGGTAACCTTGAGTTCTTCCTTCAACCCTCTGCTAAAGCACACTTTCCTCACGATTGCATTGAGTGGAGGTTCTTTTGAAACAGCAGGCAAGTAAACCTTAGCTTGAGGGACGAAAGAAATCCCTGTCTCCCTAGTTTTATATGTTATGCGAAACTTTCATTGACATGTGAGGAACCTTTGCTTTGTGCCCCCAAACAGCTCTGCTTTTCTCCTTTATGTTTTCCTGAGTCTACCCCGTCCTCAGTGCCCATTTGGAGTACATATGTAAGGTAAATTTTAAATAATTGTTCTGTGATTGGTCCTGAAATTCCGTGCCACCTTCTCAACCAATCAAATGCACAGCTAAAAGTAATCGCAACGTGGTTACCCGCGTTTTCCCGCCTTCGGGTCTACCCTATCCCCAGTGCCCCTCTGGTGTACACTTGTAAGGAAAATACACAATAATTGTTTTGATCAGTTCACAACACTACTTTTGCTTTCTACGGCGGTCTGTCAAAGTAGTTTTTTCTATGACATCCTCGACCATAATATATTTCTAAAACCTTTCTCCTGTTTTTTTTTTAGCCTCATTAAAGTTGAATCCTCTCACTAAGACGGAAATTCCCGGTGTGGAGAAGGTTACACTATCCATAACGGTAATGTAGTCTCTTACATTTCTAAACTGCACCCTCTACGTTGTTATGATTTTAGGCGGCAGCTTTAATCAGTTTTCAGTTAAGTGTCCAAAGTAATCTGGAATTACAATGGGTTTCTTTTATTTCGCTCTGTGATCGGTCCAGAAATTTCGAGCCATCTTCTCAACCAATCAAATGTAAAGCAAAACCGTTCGCGATTTTGTCACCTGCGTTTTCCCGCCTTCGAAGCGTTTTGGGCTCTGATTGGCTTCTTTGGGTAATTCCTTAAGTTTTGTGTTTAGCCGTAGGGATTACATTGCACTTGATTTTACGACAATCAACCGAAAAGCGTTCTACTGAAATCGTTTAAAGTGCTTTCTTTTTCACTTCTTTGCACACAGTTGTGTCCACATAAGAAAAGTCGCTCAAAACTGGACAGTCAACTTGTTCAAAGCTCTGCTATTTTGTTAAAATACATGGATATTAAAAAAAGTTTTCCGCGTTTGTAATCTGTAATTTTCAGTAATTACTCAGTATTGCCTTTCGTCCTTTACAGCTATTTACCCTAGGGTTTTTATCAATTAATCTTGAGAAAGTTTTGGAAGACTGTATTCTTGTTTATGTGTATTTTTCCAGGTCATTTCTGGTCAACAACTTCCAAAGCCAGCTAAAGAAGGAGAAAAAGGAGAGGTATGTTTGAAGTGGACAAGTGCCTGTGGTTATACTGTCCAAGTTTAGAGGTTGTTGTCTCAACTGCTTACGATTCTTTTGCTACTGGAACTGGGGTGCTGTTTTATAACTACGTTAGATACAGACGTTTTTAGGCCCAGACAACAGCGGTACGCTTAGACTCCTTTTGCCTGTCATTATCGTTCGCCCTTTTGTTCCCACTATCCCCTCCCTTGTGTTCCCACTATCCCCTCCCTTGTGCACCATCTTACCGGCTCCAGGCTTTCTCGTATCTTCCCAATCCAATATGGCGGCTTCATCATTCGATCGAAATATTAAGCACCTGCTCACCAGAAAATATGACGACTATGGAGTCCAGGTGGATTTTGACGACAGAACATCTGATATCAGATTTTTTTTTCTTTACAGATCATTGATCCTTATGTAAAACTCGACTTTCATGGCATACAAGCTGACACAGCGTCTTTTAAGACGAAAGTCGTCAAAGACAATGGTAATAAACAATTTTTGTCGACTTTGTTACAGAACTACGATTTTATGATGCGTTCGCTGATAGGCTGACATGAGAAATACTTCGTGCGCTCTGGTAGGGTGATTGAGTAGCATAATGACATGCTCTTCAACGTATAGCCTCCCTCTCCGCTCCCCCAGCCTCCCCGTCCGCCACCTTTTCAGCCCAAGTCTCCCCCTTAAGATCACTTTTTCGATCGATTGATACTATTTAGAACAATTAAGATTGTTTTGTGTGTTTGCAGGTTTTAATCCAGTGTGGAAGGAGAGGTTTGAAAAGGTTTTGCTGATGCCGGAGCTCACCATGATTCGATTTGCCGTATTCGACGAAGATGTTGGAATTGCGGACGACTTTATTGGCCAGTTCTCCATTCCCTTCACCAGTTTAAGACCAGGTATTTGTGTGAGATGGAATGATCGCTCTCTTTATTATCGCTGTGACTTATCGGGTATATGTGTTCTAGCCTCAAAGCCATTGACCACTCTTTCAATTTGCTTATTGGCTTTATAAGCCACAGTATGAGGAATAACGCGAAAAATTTGAAAACACTCGCCTTGGTTGTTACCTTACGAGCCGTTTGAGAGTTCTCTCAAGTATCTGCAACTTTCACCCCATTGCAAGTCGAGCGCTCGCTGTTTCTCTGTGTCTTTTCCAATTTAAAATTACCTTAATGATCACGTTTCAACACAAAAATTGTTCAAAGATTTTGCAGCACTTTGCCGGAATCATTGTTAATCACTCGATATTCTGCTTGCCTCTTAACTACTTTCAAAATAGAACATCACGTGAATCGACGTGATAGCCTTCAATCCATCTGCATAGATAAGATTATTTGATCGACATCTGCCTGTAAAGTTTGACGCATATAATTTTTTTAATCCAGGTTACAGGCATATTCATTTGTTGAGTAACAAAGGCGAATCTCTAGGCTATGCAACCCTCTTCGTTAACATTGAGATCAACAGCTCAGGATCCAACAGCAATACGTCTTCACATATGGTAAGGTATTCTTTTTGTTTTCTTTTACCGCAGTGTTGAATAGAGTGTCAAAATTGATCCCGGTTTGCATCGATTGAACTCTACTTTGCTATGATTGGACTGAAAATGTCGCACTCTTTTTCTAAACCAATCAGAGCTAGGCTAAATTCAATTGCCCTTTAACTTCCAACATTGATCGTATAATATCCATACATGATCCACCAAACAATCAATGAGGTTTATCAAACTTCACAGGTAGAATTTGTAATCTTGATCCAACACCAAAGTCTTGCATTTAACATACAAGGAAATGATTAGCAGCTAGATGGGAGAATTGACAACCAGATCTTGGGTGTTGAAGGGTTAATTCATCAATTTCCCGGGAAAAACACTTGTTATAAGACTTCGATTTCATTTTAAATTCTTACAACTAGCTAAGGGAGAAGTGTGCGCCTATTAATGATAGTATTCATGTGATATACAGGAGTATAAGTTCTTTTCTGATCAATATTCACTTGTGTATCCTCCATTGACACAAAGGATTTTATGTGGAAACATAATAGAAACGCTGTGCAACGGCCCAGGAGAAGAATGTTTCTGTAAGAACGCAAACAGCAGTCTTTTTTGTTTAGTTTAAAACCCAGTAGAGCTAGTCGAAGAATTAAGAGATCTTTTTGCTTTCGACTTTCTCTCGTTTCGTAATCACTCTGAGTTACTGGTAACGAGCTTGAAGTATACCAGGGACTATTAAGGGGCTTGTCTCTATGGTCTCTGTTCTTCCCACCACCGGAGGAAGAAGAGCGACCCTGGAAACAAGGTTGGAACCTAAGGAAGAAGAAATAAATTCTCTTCCTCTCCCTTGTATCGTTGGGTTTTATTTTGCTTCGTTATTTTTTTAATAATTAGAGAGACTAGTGGATACCAGACATTCCTATTTTTCTCCCTCTGTCTTCCCGATGCATAACCTTCGTTCTACGCATTTTCAGTTACTACCCTTTTGAAGGTCATGAAATACACTTTCTTGTTAATTTAGGTCTGGTGTTGCGTGACATCACCGTTGTCACGTTCAACACAGTATATAAATTCAGAGAGACATTATCTATGACTTTTCAAGATCGTGATTCCCAAACCGTTTCAGTCTTCACCATCCCTAGTCCATGTTCCCTGTTGGCTTGTTAGTGGCTCGTTTCCGTTTTGTATAGCCTGTGGGCAGGCCATCATTACTTGCGTTTCTTCACCCGTGAGAAAGTTTGAAGTATTGAGCAACGCTAGCCTGCGAGAGGTTAGCATGTTGTTCTGGCATACCTCTCATCGACTCGTCTCCATTCTTCCTGTGCAAGAAGAAACGCTCGCCCTGCTGTGCTGATACTGAGGGCCTGCTCACACGCTACGTTTTCAATGTTGCTGAACAAATATTTGTATCCTCATTCAGATTGAAGTAATTTTGTTTGACACAAATCAACTGAAACCGCCTAGTGACGTGACCTATTTAAGAAAAGACAGACAGTAGACACTCTGTGGAACATCTCAGTAATGCAAATTCTCTTTATTTCAGGAGACGGCTTCACCGACGATCTCGAGATTTTAGATGATGATCACCCATTTAGCACGAAATTTCTTTATTTTCTTCGCTGACTCGTCCCCAGTCGTCTGTCTACCTTTAGGAAAGCGCGCGGGATCTGCGCTAATGTTAGTCTCCCGCGAAAAATACGAGACGACTAGGGACGAGTTAGTCTTCTTTGCTTTCTTCTACCGGAATCTTTGGTCAACTTATATTATAAGGGTAATAAGTTGTTAACGTGTATCGTCACGAGTGGATCACTTTTCAGTTGAGTGTCGCGAGACCACAACCAAAATATTTAAAAAAGCCAATCAGGAAGAAGGCGACTATAATAAGGAACCAATGAGACCTCATGTTAAAAAAAAGCACGTCTGCAAATGGCCTGAAGCGCGGGAAAACGCAACTGGCGAAGTCATGTCTGATTGGTTTAGAGAGTGGCGCAAAACCTGCTATGCCTTCCCGGCATACTCTCGACACTCGTTTGAAAACTGTCCGAGAAAAGTCATTTTTGTTTGGCTAGTGTTTATGTAAAAATAATGAAAACTGTATGTTAAATTTAACGGGATGTAACGGCAATAGGAATGTTTCTTCCAGCTAGGAGTCACATATTTTCGGTGCTCATTCCCAGCTAATAATACGAGATGAATTCTTAACCGAGAAATTGACTTAGAAAAAATGATTGATTCATTTAACTGATAATAAAGGATTCAACCAATTCGACGCGATTTATTACAGCAAAAGGTAAGTTATTTCGTAATAACATATTTAGGGTAGACCTGAAGAAATGTTTATTTATAATGTAGCTAATTAGGCGAGTACTTTCATTTGAAAATCTCATCCTTCTGGTTTTTGACATAATGGTGTTATTTCTGAATTGTTTTGAAGGGAAATAATCCAAAATGCATTATGATTCGTTGTGGGTCGGCAAAATTAAATGGAACCGGATTTTTCTCGGGATATAGAAGCCTTAATAGGGACAAGTAAGGGCGTGTGTTGGGAGTGGGTGGGGAGGGTGGGTGCTGTAATAACGTTTGCCTTGCACTTGGAGGCTTGCCGGTGTGTAAATAGTTATAAATAATAATAATTAATTTTCTTTGACAAGGTCCTTCAGGGAAGGGGGAAGTTCTAAATCAGCAACTTGTGGGCATTAATGGGGCATACCAGGTTGTTATAATATCATTGGTTTTTCTTCTTTTTATCATAGGGTGGCATAACTCATAGAAATTCCCCCCCCCTCCACCCCCTAGCAAAGTAACTAAGTATTACAGCTCTTAATCAGTCTAGTGCCCAGACTTTTCACGGCTAGGCGGTTACAATTACACGAAAGGATCAGGGCACGAGATTAGCTCTTAATTATCAGCTAACCTAGTTTATTGTTTAGTCTGTTGTTGTGAGATAACAACAATATTTTGCTCGCTATGACGATTAAGATGAACAAAAATACAATCACAGGAACGGATACCATTATAAATTATTATTGATCAATTTTTAATTACTATTTATGTGGAAATGATCATTTTGCCCTGTTCTTATAAGCTATTTAATCCTTACTGGGCGGAAAAAATGTACGCCCCTTTTTGAATGTGATATCTATTTAAAGCACTTTTTTTTATCCTTTTATGAAATTTCAATTTGATCAGCCATCACTGCAGATATTTAAGCTACTGATATTTGGATTTAGTCAGTAAGAATAAAGTGTTTCCTTTATCGTGCTCCTACTTCGTTTACTTTTTGCTTCCATTTCTCCATTTGCCGATGGCAAAATATTAGATAACGACGTTAGGAAAGGGGAAATCTTAACTTCAAGAAACAAGGACACTTATGATTAGTCATATATAGGGCCGACAAAAGCTCCCAGCGCATGAAAAAAAGGGGTGTGAGATTCTGCTCGATATTTGACGTTTGCGCCCGGAGCGTGAGCGTATTAAAACGGAGGAAACCTCAAATAGGATGGTAAAATTATCAACCATTTCTTACAACCACTCTCTATTTTCCAAGGGGCTTCCCCGACAGGTGTTTAAATTGTGAGATATAAAAATGGAAAAGTGGAAATCTATATTCAGAATGATTGAGCACCCTTAGACCCTTTCCCATGACGCGTTTTATCACCCACATTAAGTACTACGGAAGGAAACCACACCCCATCCTTTACCTCTTATCGCTCGGTCAGAATATCGCTGCGAGGGATTTTATCGTTTAGGTCTTCTAAAAAGAAAGGGACAGTGCTCTGAATAACTTGATATTTTAGCACCGATTTCTCCGGGGAAGGGGTGATTAAGGGCTTTTTAAACCGCCCGGAACTCTCTCGTGAAGAGTACTCTTGGCCCTATGCCAAAATTAGAGAAGAAACATCTCAGATAAACATAGATATTTATATCCGTAGCTCTTAGAGTTGAACGAATGCTTGAAGTTGATACAAAACAATATTTCACAACATTTGGAGAAAATAATTGAAACTCCTTGCTTTTGTGCGCGTTTTGACTTCAAGCTCTAATGCTCCTTTAACTTTATAATTTTCGCTGCTCCATCGCCATTATTTTCATCGAGCGCCAAAAAAAAAAAAACGCCAACAACGTTAAAACGCAAGCCATCAAACTTTCTTTAACCGGTTTTTTTTTTTATTTCGGTCCGGGCGTTCGAAGAAAATGCCGCTGTCTTTACTTTCTTCTAAAGAGGTTTCTAGTTCCTTATTTCAGCAAGTCCATTCCAAAATTTATTTTTACAAGGAAGTCGCTAACGCAGTGCGGGCTCAACAAAGTATAAAGTTCAACCTTTTCCACATCGTTGATTGTGTGACCTGTTTCCTTTTCTTTTGACAACTGTTACACTTCCCAATGGCTGCTGCAGGATTTTCCCTCGTTGCAAGAAGAATCTCTCCTCAAATTTTCCGTTCTTTTAGTCCCAAAATCAATCTGCAGCAGGCTCGGAGAACGGTTCCTTTAAACGAATTGTGTCGAAGTACCTTCGCGTTGCAACACCGATTAAGGTACGATAGTATTAAGGTCCGCTTTCTTCTTGTAATTCAAAATATAGCGAATCATTTTTCCTCAGGTTCAGATTTGCCATGAAGGCAGTGATGGGTTTCTCAAGTATCAACGCATTAGATTATTTACCTTCTTTTTACTCCGACTGCAGACATCAAAATTATATATTCTATTTCCGTAAGTGGGTATTAATGTACGATTTAAGTAGCAATGTTTATTTACTCAAAGAACTTTTAGCTCTCTTTATCCAGTCGATTAATATGGTCAGCTTTTTGTTTACCCAGAGCTATTAAACAGTCCTAAGTACTGACAACCCACTAAATGAACAATTTGGAATGCATTCTTTCGCCAGAACTCGCTTACTCGATCTGCATTATTACCTAGTTAAGACCTTATTCGCGCTTCGCATGCTATTATGTAACGCGTCTGAGGTTTTTTATGAGCACGACTGCAATTATTTTATAATGTTAGTGAAATTTTTTGACTGAGGAGATACGGTTTATAGGCAACTTTTGTTGTTTAGTCAACAGAATCCGCCCGTCTCGGGTGCGGTGTGTTTGAGTTTGTTTGAAACGTCAGTGCTAAATTTAGGCAATGTACTTCCTCAAGGATTTAAATGAAAATTTCCTTGACCTAGCGAATCCGCCCGTTTCGGTTTCTGTGTGTTTGAGTTGTAGTGGTTGAAAAAACTGTTTATAGAGTGAGATTTTCAAGTAGAGCATGTATTTTTACCTGAAAAGTTTTTAAAAACACACAGCTTCATTTGTCATGATGATTTAGTTTATTATAATTTTTTTTTTGCACAGTGGAGAGGAGGGTAGGGGAAAGGGCTGTTAAATATTTTATCAGGGACTGGTCATTGTTATTTACTGCCTGGGGTGGGGCGGGGGGGGGGTGTAGTCAGAGAATTTTGGTTGTCTCACAGGGTTCTGCAGTATTCTGATGATCCCCTCTCATTTGAAGTCAATTTTCTAAAGTCCCCTCCCTTCATACCCCTCCTCTGCAATGATGATCCCCACTGTTCCCCCCCTGAAAACCATGGAATCCCCCCAAAATCCTCAGACATCTCACTACAAGGCAATAAATAGTGGATGGTTGGGGGGCTGATTGGAGAATTTTGGTTGTGTCATGGTATTCTGCAGTATACTGATGATCCCTTGTCATTTGAAGTCAATTTTCCAAAGTCCCCTCCCTTTATACCCACCCCCCTCTCTCTTAGCGATAAATGATCCCTCCTTGTTCTTACTTGAAAACCACAGAATCCCCCTAAAATCCACTGACCCCTCACCATAAGGCAATAAATAGTGGCAAATTGTTTTTTGTAATTTGAGATTAAGCAGGATGCTCATTTGCCTTTGTATGTATGCTATAGTTTTGCTCTCAATTGTCTGCATGCTGTGGGTTACTTAGACAGAGTTTCTTGTGTTTTGTTTTGTTTTGTTTTGTTTTTTTTTATCCACACTACCAGTGTTCTCCTTTTTAGACAGTAGCCAGTAAAATTTACCACCTGTGTTACCTCTTAACCCTTTAACTCCCATGAGTGATGAAGACAGAATTTCTCCTAACATTATCAATACAATATCAAACAGGTAAGCGATGAGAATTGAGAAAAATATCAACTTAGGAATAATTGGATGATCTAATACTAAATTCTCTGAACTAACATTAACACAATTGTATGGTTAACAGTTAGGAGAATTACAAACTTCGTCTGGGAGTTAAAGGGTTAATATCACTTAAAAGTACCTGGAATTCAGGAAAATTCAACAGGTAATAGGATTGCTGCATGGGTTTCTTTTACCTGTCTTGCTTAAAATAGAGTCTGAGAAAATTTACATCTATTTTTGCTTTTTTGGGTCATGGCCACATCTGTCCTTGCAGAGAGAAAAATTAACAAGTCCATCCCAAATTACATACCCTTGTAGGTGTGAGTTCATACTAGTGAATTGCAAGATACTGTTTGGTATTCAAAATCTTTAATTTGATTTAAACTGAAAATTATGAATGCAATATCAGTTACACCCATTTTATTTCCCCTAGAGAGATTTATGTTATCTTTCTACATAGATTGAGTTCATGAGTCTCTATAGAAATCGCTTTTTAAGGAGAACAATGTCTGTTTTCATATGGAAATTTTACAATACTTAAAAAAATTAAGTACATTAGTACAGCTGCTTCAATATTATTCAATGATTTGATAAGAGATATATTAGTTTTTTATTCTCTCCGGGTAAAAAACTGATGTATATATCTTTCCATATACCGTCAAGTGAATTCGTACTTATTTTGGATCGTGCCAGTGCATTCATGCTCTTTTAATTAAGTAATCTTTACAACCCCAGGAAACAATCACGGCGTGTAGCCTCGATTTCATGCGACGGTCAGGAGAGCTAAGTTCTAGGTTACCAAAATAAAGATTGCTTTCACGTGGGTTCCTAGTCAGTTCGATTGTGGAATTACGCCCTGCTAGGAAAGAACCGGTTCATCAAAGTATGTCAACAAATAATACCTGATAAATTAACCACTTAATTTTCTAATTCTGCTTTTTTTCGTTTATTTTACAGCTCTACGATGAGTAAGGCGTTCATTCAAAAACCGGCGCCGCCATTTTCTGGGACGGCTGTCAACCATTATGGAGAGTTTGTAGATATAAAGCTTTCAGACTTCAAAGGTATGAGATCAGCTTTTTATTGGAAGAAATGTGCTTTATTTCTTTTGATTTCACTAACAGTGTTCCTTTTTATTCGCAGGAAAATATGTGGTGCTTTTCTTTTACCCGCTGAACTTGTAAGTAGACTGAAAGTTAACGAACTGTTAAGGGTAGAATTTACAGGTGAACGGATTTCGTAAGCTTTAGTTTGATTGAACCTCAAACCCTTCTTGCCTGAATAATTAGCTCATCAGTTACCATGAAGTGAATAAGAAAAACAGTTGCAACGCTCCAGTGAAACGTGAAATGCTTGAAAAGGAGCGATTGTAAGGTTAATTTTCATTCCCAATGGTGTTTTCA